TTTTTTTTTCAATTCACTGACGCATTTTCATCTGTTCTCCTGCTTTTTTTTTTGGGCTTTTTTCGTTTACAAGTTCTCCTGGGACGTGGTCCCACTAGCAAAGAGGATCGAATCGAATGCCTGAATCTGGACGAGTTTATGGAGACGTGCCGGAAATCGAGATTGAACTGCTTTTCTGCATCTGTGCTTAAAACACAACCAGATTCAGGAGCTCTATCCTATCCTTTTTGCTAGTGGGACCTCGGCCCGGGGAGTGGTCCCACTAGCAAAGAGGATCGAATCGAATGCCTGAATCTGGACGAGTTTATGGAGATGTGCAGGAAATCGAGATTGAACTGCTTTTCTGCATCTGTGCTTAAAACACAACCAGATTCAGGAGCTCTATCCTCTCCTTTTTGCTAGTGGGACCTCGGCCCTGCTTTGGGGCCTGCTCACACTAGGACTTTTCTTGTAAAGATTTTTTTTTTTTTTTATAAAACCGGGAAATAGGATGAATGTGAACGTATTTGCAGCCAGATCCAATCGGGAAAATCTTAAGTGTGACTTTCTTTGCAACCGGAACCAACAACTGGTATAGTACTTGTCTCCATGGACACATGCATACGGATTGCCACAAGAAAGGCATGAACCTGGTCAGAATCATGTTCAGGTTCATCCACTTCATGGCCGTCATAACCCTGCCATTTTGTGAGATCATCCAAACCTGCTATGATCCGGCAATGGTGCACCCGGACAGAATCTGAGCAAGATTCAAGCCCCGATGCAGCCTGCAGCATTCTTCTTCTCTCAGCTCTTCAGCCAACTCGTTGCAGGGCATAACCAGACAAAATGAGTTCCATGGAAGTCAAGCCGGCCGAGCCCGTTGCCGTTGTCCCGGAGTCGGTCCTCAAGAAGAGGAATCGAGATGAATCCTGGGCGAAAGCTCGGGCTGACGAGCTGCGCGAGAAAAGGACTAAGTACAAGAAGAACAGAGTAGTGATCTTCAAGCGGGCGGAGCAGTACATCAAGGAGTACCGTGCCCAGGAAGCTGATCTTGTCCGTCTGAAGCCGTTGGCGAAGCTCAAGGGTGGGTTCTCTGTTGAGGCGGAACCAAAGGTCATGTTCATCATCAGAATCAGAGGTATCACTCATTTGCACCCCAAGACCAAGAAGATTTTGCACCTTCTCAGGTTGAGCCAGATCTTCAACCCTGTGTTCTTGAAAGTGAACAAGGCCACCATCACCATCATCCGCCGAGTTCAGCCCTACCTCACCTATGGGTACCCCAGCCTCAAGAGTGTCAAGGAGCTTATCTACAAGCGTGGGCACGGGAAGGTCAACAAGATGGAGGATCCCTTTGATGGACAACGCCATCGTCGAGAAGGAGCTCGGCAAATTCGGCATTATCTGTATTGAGGACCTGATTCACGAGATCTACACTGCTGGGCCCCACTTCAAGGAGGCGAGGGGCGAACAATTTCCTCTGGCCGTTCAAGCTCAACTGTCCTCTCAGAGGATTGAAGAAGAAGAGATTGCATTACATTGAGGGCGGTGATGCGGGTGACAGGGAGACGAAGATCAATGCGCTCATCCAGAGAATGAATTAGGTTTTCTGTTCCTTGAATCTTAGGTTTTAAGTGGTGTCGATATGGAGATCACGGTCGGCGGAAAGATGTGACGCCGTAGGATGGTAATGAGGTATGCGTCCGCGTGTTGATGATGTCGGTCTGCTACGCAGATCAGATGGGAACATGCATAGAGGAGAGAAGAGAGCTGAGCACAGATTTGTCCGCAAGAAAAAATGCTGCAGACGCGATTATGTCTGAGCAATGTGTCCGAAAAGCCGTGGTTGAAAAGCTGTGGTGCAGGGGACGATGTTCATGAAAGGAGATTTATGGCTGTAGGGTTATGGGCCACATATCTGAGTGTCGCAGGCTGTACGTGGATTTTCGGCTAGTGGATTTTTTCGATGAATGTGAACAATTTCGCTGAGCGGGTCCGGAACGGTCCGCCAATCTTGTAGAGGACGGCTGTGGATGAGTTCTCGAGTTCATGTCTGCGTTTCCGAGATGACGGATGTGCCCCTGTTTTTGATCGACTGTGTGCTCCTTAATCGATTCCTTAATCGGCAAATAAAAAAAAAAAAAAAAAAAAAAAAGCATTCTGCTCTCAGAAGCTGCAGCTTGGGTGGGGCTTTCCTCAGCTTGAGCTTTGCCTTACCAGCAGGCCTCTCTTTTCCTCTTTTTTTCCCCCCTTTCTTTTTATAGTTTCTTTCTTTCTTTTTTTTTTTTCTTTCTTTTTTTTTCTTTCTTTCTTTTTTTTTTCTTTTTTTCTTTTTTTTCTTTGTTGGAAAAAAAGGGATAATAACCTACTCTGAAAAGTTCAGAGGTCCCGAGGAGGCTCCACAGGAACGCTACCGTCTTCCCCCGAACATAACGCACCCTGAAAATGAATGTATACACGCTATATTTCCGGTTCGGTACAGCCATAATCAGGGTGCGTTGTGTTCGGGGGAAGACGGTAGTGGGGTGAACTGTTTTCATTGCTAAAATCAGGTTTTTTTGTCAATTTTTTGGTCTTGTGTGTGTGTGTG